CTATTAAAACCCACTATTTGTTTCACCAAATAACTGATACTCTGGTTATACATGTCTAATTATACAATTCTGATTATATAATTAATTCTCTTGTTTAATATTTGAAGAAATATTGCGCTACTGTTAGCACTTTATCGTCAGAATTGAAGTGTCGATCTTTTAAAAATTTCACTTTTCTAATTTGGTGGGACGAAAACTTATTGAATTATATAAAATATTGAATTTTTATGTGTCTATGGAATTATAAAATGTTTAATTACATATACAGTGAAACCTGAGTAAGCCGGAACCTGTGTAACACGGAATCCTGTGTATGACGGAAATTTTGGCGATTACCTACATATTGTAATGTAAAAATTGCTTATAAGCCGGAACCCTGTCTAACGCGAACACGGAATTTCCCTAATCTGTTAAGCCGGAACCTACTTATGTTATTGCTTTGCAGGTATAAAAGAATATATAGATGTTTACATAATTAGTTTATGATTTCGGAAAGCCCCATAATAAGGGCGAACTATTATCAATACTTAGAACCATTATCACAGAAATTTAGGTACAAAAGCAGTAAATACACAAATAAACCAGTATTGTGTAGGTACGGCAGTTTGAGTTTATCCGTGAAAGTGCAAACATTTCAAAATGGCAAACCGAAAAACGAATACATTATCGCTAAAATCTAAAATGGACTTAATTAAATGTAGTGACCAAAAAAAACTTACTCCAAAGCAATTGGTTATTCAATTTAAGTGCGGAAAAACGCAAGTGTATGAAATTTTGAAAAACAAGGAAAAAATTAAAGACGAGTGGATGCGTGGTGGTAATGGCGATATTAAGAGAAAGCCAAAGGAATAACATCACGACGACGTAAATTCAACAGTTTTGGAATGGTTTATGGATGCAAGGTCTCGCAATCTTCCTGTATCTGGAACAATTATTCAAGAAAAAGCAAGAGAAATTGCAAACCATTTTGGAAAAGTAGATTTTAAAGCTTCGAATGGATGGCTGGAAAGTTTTCGAACACGACATAACATAAGATTTAATCAGATCTGCGGTGAAGCTAAGGACGTCAACATGGAATCTGTGACTGAATGGACATCGCACATTACAGATTTAATTAAAGGATATACCCTAAAAGACATTGCTAATTGTGACGAAACTGGCCTTTTTTATAGAGCGCTGCCGGACAAGACAATGTGCTTTAAAGGTGAAAAATGTCAAGGAGGCAAACAATCTAAAGGAAAGGTTAACCGTTTTGTTTTGCGCCTTTGCTGACGGAAAAATAGAAAAACCTCTAGTTATTGGAAAATCCCTCAGACCGCGATGTTTTAACAATACCAATGTGCCTCAGCTACCAGTTTATTGGCGAGCAAATAAAAAAGCATGGATGACATCAGTTCTTATGGAACAGTGGCTAAAAATTTTAAATCAAAAAATGAAATTTGAAAATCGACACATCCTTCTATTTTTGGATAATGCAACGTGTCACCCCAAAATAATACTATCCAATATAAAATTGTGTTTTCTACCACCAAACACCACAAGTCAAACACAGCCTCTCGATCATGGAGTTATACAAAACTTCAAAATGCATTACAGAAAACAAGTGATGCGGTCAATTATTGCGAATATGAGATTCTCTCAATCAGCAGGAGATTTGGCTAAAAAAATATCAGTTTTGGATGCTATCAGATGGATTGATTATTCAGTAAAAAATATTAAACCTGATTGTGTTAAAAAATGTTTTGCGGCATGTGGAATCAAGCAAGATGGAGACGTTGACCTAATCGAAAATGTTGACGAAAGTACAAAAGAAGTCGAAGAGTTAATTACTGAAATTAATCCCGGTTGTAATGTTCATGATTACATCACATTAGATGAAGCCGTTACAACAAATGCTGAATTTCAGTCCATAGAAGAACTGGTGTTAGAAAAGATTGCCGTGGAAACTACTGTGGCAGACGATAATGATGGGATTGGAATTGGTAAGCGATTTTTCTAATTCTCTAAAAAAATAAACAACTTTTTATTTATTCTTTCCATCTTGATTGGGCATTTGGCCAAGTAGAAATAAGGTTAAAATACATAATAAAAGTAAGATAGGAAGATTTCAGTTACCATCACAAAAATAACAGATAGAAAAAATTATTTTCCCATTAGCTTTTCAAAACGATCTGTTCTTAAATTATTATTTTTATCTACAGGAACAGAAGTTGAAGAATCCGATCGGATAAAAAATTTTTCTAAAGCTTTGAGGAGTGTTGCAGCGTTAGAGGATTTTTCCCAAAGAATAGAGAGCGAACCGATGAGAAAGAAGATTTTAGAATTAAGGACATTCATGGAATCATCTTACGTATTACAAAAGAATAAAAAACAACTTACATTGATAGAAATGTGGAATAAATAATAATTTATATTGTTTCTAATAATAAATAAAAATATGTAACTACATAGTAATAATAACAACTATATATTAAATGTACGTATATTAGATTTTTTTTAATAAAATCATCACTTTGTTAAATCTACTGTGCAATTTTTTATCTACCCTGTGTAACGCGGAATCCTGTATATGCCGGAAAATCGGTGCACGACCGTGCGATTCCGTTTTACACAGGTTTCACTGTAATATCGCATTATAAAATGTCGAATTTTAATCGAAAACTATTAAGTAACAAATTGTAAAATTATCGAAACTAGAAAATATGGACGCACAAAAAGTCAAATCCACTAAATATCGTAATGCAAAAAAAACAAATATTGCATATGGGGCCATTCAAGTATTACGTAAGCACTTATTTTGGATGAAATGGGGGTAGGGGTGTCTGGATGATGATTACGTCATCGTTATTTATTTACTTTTTTACACGAATGGCAACCCTCACATTGTCTATGCTTGAAAACGAAACGCATTTTCGGGGATTTTCGCAAATAATGCATACGTTTAGGCACTCGCTTTAGAACCGAGTAGGGGAATTACCGCGCACTATTCACTTGTCTAAATTTTCTCTGTCACTGTATTGTTTCATTTGGATACTATAGCGAGTAGACGTATTGTAAGCATAGCAAAGCAGGTTAACATTTGTGTTACCGTTGATCTCATTAGCCAAAGTTTAATGTTTAAATAAGATGTCGTTTCAAATAGACAAATCCAAGTTATACGAAAAATTGTTTGAAAGTTTTCAAAAATCTCATACCAGTAAAAAAGTACAAAATGTACAAAAGTTAGTTAACGAAGTGTGGCGAAATTATAAATACAAGCAAAGTCCGACAAGGAATTAGATATTATTGTATCTAAGAGAATTAAAGAAGAATTGTAAGCGGCGACTAAGAATAAATCCAATCTACTACATTTTTTTTCCAAGGTGAGTGACGAAATCATTTTAGTACTAGATATATTAGAAATCGCCAAAAAGTTTCTCTTTACATTTTGTAACAATAATTTAGACGTTTTATGATTAAAAAATATAATGGCTTATTTAAAAGTATAGATTTATTTCTTAAGATTGACTCTGTCAATTGGTCACAAAATACAGGGTGTTCGTTTTCTGTATGTGATGGGTTCGATTTACCAAGCAATAGGGCTTTATATAATCTTTAAATGCAGTTTTTTATTGCATACTTTGTATTTATATAGGGACGAAGACAAGTATCGACAGTCCTTGTTAAGCTCATTCGGGCTCAAACTAATCACCACAAGAGCCACTTAGATAGCTGAAACATTAATCCATTATTTAGAGAACATAGCATCCATACTTGGACGAGATCAAGTATTTTTCATATCTGAAGATGATAAAGCTCGAGTCCCTATTGGCATAACTGCGGCAAATAAGCAAGCACCTCTTCTAACGCACATGGAATATAGAATCAAACTGCCTGACCACGATTGGATAATCGCTGAGCGTCATAAATTAATACCATCTGTTTATGCTGGTATCAAAATCACTTCCAGTATGCTTAGACAACCGCAAGCCGATGGATATTCTGGACCAACATACATCGCTATTCAAAGTGGAAAGCATAGTTCATCTACTGCTAATACTAATGCTCAGGATTTCGAGAAGTTTCTCGAACTTGCAGAGTTTCGAACATTGGCTAAAACTGACCATGGACTAGTAAAACCAGTGGTTATCATGACAGCTAGATGAAAATCCGCGTTATCAAAAAGTCATAGGGTTTGCTATACAACACTTTATGCGACATGATCTCGATGCACTGTTTTTAGCTACCAATGTTCCTGTAAGAAGTGCGTATAACAGAGTAGAGCACAGAATGGCTCCTCTTAGTCGGGAACTGGCTAGTTTAATATTACCTCATGACCATTTTGGGTCTCATTGGGATGAAAGTGCTACCGCTCCTTTATCTGGGGGTACTTATTAGTAATAAAATTACCCCTTTGCTTAAATAATCAAGACAAATAATAGCTCAAGTAGTTTTATGAACTACCGGAGAGTGAATGAAGGTTATATGATTTAAACTACACTTATGTTACCCATATAATTTAATTTCAGTCCAGGATCAGTTCAGGTTAGTTTCCAGTTTGTAATGTGAGCAATAATAACAAAAAAAGGGGGCTAAACCTATCAAGTTGCCCTGGGACATCCAATTAGTACTAATTGTTTACAGTGAGTTGAATGTAAGTATACAAAATTAAAGATAGATACTATTACTGAGGGTAATATATCTAAATACATTCTTTTACTTTTACTAAGGGTAATATATCTTTATTTGTTTATTATTAATGTCCTTTCTTTTAGGTATTTAGTCCCTACACAAGATAACGATATTGTCCAAGCCGGGGATAATAGGCTGAGGTTCCAGCTCAGCTTATCATCCTTAGAAGAATAAGGAAAGTTGTCTGTAGCAGATCCAAGTTGTATGGGTTGGTCTCGCTTTAGGTACACAGCTAATAATAAGTAGACAGCAGTCTGGATGTAGCATCCACAAATACATGTGCCTAGGAGCTAGTAAGCATGCAGTTATGGTCCAGCAAGTAGCTATTAATGGAGACAGGCAGTAAGACTGAAGTCCAGAGCAAAAAGCAGGTAAGCGGTAAGCGTTAATCTTTAAAGGTTCTAATTTAGCTCATGCAAGCAATTTATAGGTCTCTAAACCCAATACTAAAAGGCCTAGAAGGAAAGGCAATATAAGTAATACAAATAAGCCGAAAGGTATAGCTAAATATGGACTGCTGTCAAGACTAGACAATGTAGTTTCCTAGTGATAGTTGTAATTGTCTCTTAATATATGGCTTTTATTCCGAATAAAATTCGATAAATCTAAACAGGCACCACATGGACCCAACAAATTCATGCCATTAAAGAAAGAGCCAAAAAGGGAGGAAGTTCCTTGATTTAATGGCCGACCAATATCGCCAACTATTGAAATTTTAGGAGAAAATTGCAACTGTTCAAATAATAAATCATAACCTTGCCATAGAACATTTAAGAAATGAAATAGGTCCTAGTTACACTAGAAGAAGAAAGGTCAAGGTTGACAGATGATTGTCAAAATGAAATGTTTACATTTTCTGTAGGTTAACCAAACTATAAACTATTAAATTATCAACTTCTAAATCTGTTTTATTTTCAAAAGGGTAAGTTTCATTCAACTTTATATAACTTGTGAAAATGAATATCATTTAACCGATTTATATATTTATTTTCTCCTATTTAAATTAAAACCGTAACAAACGTGGAGATAAAATTGATGAACATATAGAAAGATCTAATTTCGAATTTACAGTAAATGTATTAGCTGATGTACGGAGTTCAAAGGAAATTGATGGCTATAATGTTACTGCAAAATATGTTGGGGCAGGTGAACAAGATCTTCCTGATTTTACAGACATTAAATGGTATTCAGAACATGTGCGTAAAAGCCAATACTTGCTTCAAATTATAAAACGTAGAAATACAGAATGCTATCGTCCAAGAAGTGGCCTATTCAGATTACTAGACAACAGGTTTTTTCCACCACCTGTAAAAGTAAAACAAACAGTTGATGACTTGGTTTTGGATGAAGAAGAGAAATTTATTGATCTTCCAGTCAATTTAGTTCTACGATTAAGTACTTCACTCAAAGATTTCCTGCAAATGCCCTACGATTATTTTTGTCCAACAGTAAAATTGGGGCTATCAAGTCAAACATGCAAAACGTGTGGTCTTTATCATGCTTTCGTCAAGTCACTAAATCGTCACATCGAGAAGATCCATAAAAAGTAAACACGCACACTGATAGGAAAGTTAGACCTGTAAGAGTCGCTGCTCGTCCTGCTAATGAACTGATATGCATTATTCAAAATTTAGAGCACCATCATGTTGAATGGCTCGATGAGAACGACGTAGACATTTTAAAATCGGATGAAAGTGAGCAGATTCACAACACTGAGCAGCAATCCAAGCAATCCAATGTCATCGAAAACTTAGAATCATGGATTCGGGCATCATGGACTAAAGACTATTAATTTTAATTTAATATGTGTACCAAAAATTTAAAATAAGTTTGTTATGTTCGTAAGATTAAAACATTTTTGTCCCTTACTCTATGTTGATTACTGTATAAGTAAAATTTAATCTCTATCCTAAATCTATTTTCTTATTTTTAAAATTATAACTATAATATAAAAAAAATACATTTATAATTGAAAAATGTTTACGTAAGCATGGAGGGAGGGGGTAAGAGCTTTGCTTACTTTTGCTGACAAGGGGGATGAGGGGTAAATAATTGTAATAAATCTGCTTACGTAATATTTGAATGGCCCCTATTGTAATAACTGTACAAAACATTAGTAATACAAAGCGAAACCTCACACTAATACAGTATATCAAAGATAACTGTTAACACTGAAGCAAAAGGAGGCAGCCCTTAACGTGGCGTTTTTGCCAATAACTTTACCTAGATATTAAAAGCCAAAATCTATGGATTATATATGGAATAGTGCCATTAAGGAATTTAAGAAATTTAAAGGTCCTTGGTTTTTCCTGGAAACTGGAAGGAATTTAAATTTTAAAATATATGCATATCTACATATTATAACATAATGTATTTTGCTAAAATTTTAATTTTTTAACAAAATTTTTTTTTGAGGTATCCTTATTCGAAAATTATAAGGGGTGGGGTAATCACCTTAAGTTTTTGGATAACAGAGAAGAATTTCTTGGTCTTCTCACCAGTGTAGGAATGAATGACACTAACGACAACGTAGTGGCGCTGAAAACACTAAACATAAAGAAGTTTTACACCCATACATTAATTTATTACATATAACAATAAAGCAATGAATAATTTCACTAATGCAATCATTTATATTTTACTTTTTTTACTATGTTCTCCAAATAGAGGGATAATCATTATAAATATATAAAATTAAAGGTACAATTATTAAATATTATGAATTACAAAGTGACGTAAATCTGGATTTGAATATAAATTGCCTTTAATATGTTATTCTAAAATTTTCGCAGAAAATGTAATTTCTTATTAATTACATACTTTAGTTTAAGTTGGATTTAAATCATTTATAGGTACAAAAATATAGGGAAGTTCTTAAGCATGTTATTTTCTTAAATTCTTAGAGAAAAACGTTTAGTAACAGCTAAAAACTACAGCAACAACTGTGAGAAAGATGATAGTTGTTGTAGTTTGTTAGATAATTTAACAACACTACTTCCTAACCAAGAAAATAAATTGGCTAATATTGAAATTGAAAAATTCAATGTTGATTACTTCTACTGTCTTTAATATTTGGGTTATTAGTTATGCAGTAAAAAAATTAAAAAAAAATTATTGAAGTATGTAAAATCAATTTAGGATAAGATATCCTCTAAATCTCATAATATATTTACTCATTCAAAAGACTTTTGAAATATCCTCAAAAAGAAGTTATTCAATTTTTGGATACTCTTCATGACTATGTTATTCGAATACTACCCAAATATGGACACATAGAAATAATTTTTTTATGGTAACATTATAATTTTGTATGGTTTACTTTTTAAGAATCTTAATTAGTTTTAGGAATTAAAATGTAATATCTGTAAAAAAATTTATTTCAAGATATTATTATTTTTTTTTTGTTTATTAAATTCCTGTGTATTGAGATTTTTGGACATTTAAGAATGGGTCGTTCACTTTCATTTTTTTATTTGAATAAGTCATATTATATTTATAAAGATATTACACTAAAGAATTTTATGTGATGTAGGTTCGGGTTTTATCCTTTCATTAAAATAAATGAAGCTTAAATAGAAGCCGGTACTGGCGTTTCATAAGTTGATTTGTTTGAAATAAAGAATCGAAATTGTGGCGACAACCAACCGATCGCGTATAACGAACGAAACTGGTGGCAAAAGGCAGGAAATGATATTGTTTTTGGAATATAATGGCGACATATTTTTTATGGGGAGCTGATGAGACCGTTGAGATATTGTCTTGAAAATAAACAAGCGTGCTAATTAAATTTTGCGAATCGTGCTCGAAAACAGAACAGCTATAGCTATAGCTTCGGCCATAACTGTTGCTGTGTAGTCTGGATTTTGATATGGTGTTTGCTGAACTGAAAATGATGCGAATATAAAAGAAAACAAGGGTGAAATATAATGAATGAGTCCTAAAAGGGATGCTTTTTGAAATATTACTAGTATGTTTTTTTTTTTTAACAACAGCGGTATTTGATTTTTGATATGTGCTTTTTGAATGCTCAATACAAAGTATTATTGGCATAGTTGGTGTACGAGCTGGCCTGTGTTAACAGTTTTTTTGCTGTATTATTTCTACATACGGATTTTAATCGCTTCTGTTGGTGAGCATGATAAACATTCAACCAGAAATGTTGCGAAGATATTTCAGTGAACTCGCAACGTAAAGCTTTATATGTAATATCATTTTTCCAGGGAAGAGGTTCTTGTTATTAATTACATTGGAAAACAAATTTTATTTTTTTTATGTTTCCTGAATAAAACCAATTTTTTGGATTCAAGTACACACTAATAACTAAAAAACACTTAAAGATTGATTTTAGTTGGCTCGCAAAAAAATCTGAATTTTGTGTTAGAAAATTTTAATAATTAATATACATATGCAATGAACATTTAAAATGCAGATAAAAATATATTTCTGGTTTAACAAAAGTAATTAAATAGGACATTTTTATCATTAAATCCAAAGTTTAGATACTCATGTTGCTCTTCTTAAAAAGCAGCCTCTGAGTCATATTTGTAGTCTAGTAGTAGTCGGCTAACATCTCAGAGTTCCATTTTTCCTGATACCTTCTTTCTATGTTTAACATATTCTGGTGAAACCTCTCATCATGCTTGTCACGTACAGCACCACAATTTTTCGGAAAGTTTTTTAAATGAGAATCAACGAAATGCATTTTAATGACATACTACACCCTAGGCTTTGATAACACAAAAGAAGTTGGGCAACCAGATCTTTATAGTTTTATGCTTTTACATTTCTTAAAAAAATTGTTGCAACCATTTTAAAGGCATTTCAAGCATACCACATACAGACAATTTGAAGTTGTCTCAGTGGGTTTTGTGTTTAATTGTTCAACATATGTATTTATTTCAACTTAAAATATGTATTAATGTATTACTTGTTGGCAATTAAACTATTTTATTATTATTATATTATATTATTATATCTTTCTTCTTGCCTTCGAGTGTGGAATCGAATTGCTTATCTCCGAAAAGTTTCCTAATCTGGGGAGCCACAAATATTCCTTCTTTAATTTTAGCGTCACTAATTCTAGGGAACTTTTCTTTTAAATAACTAAAAGCACGGACTTCTTTATCCATGGCCTTTACAAAGTTTTTCATAAGCCCCAATTTTATAGAAGGTAGTGGTAGTAATATCTTTTCTGGGGGAACTACTAGCACGCTCGCTATATTTTTCTTTCCTGTTTCAAAAGACACTCTTGGGGGCCAATTTTTTTCTGTAGTGATCTGATCGTGTTAAAATGTCCCACTTGCAAAGAAAGCAGCAGTATTTGGTATAACCTAACTGCATTTTAAGTAAAATCGCCAAAACTTTTAAGTCCCCACAAATTTACCACTTATATTTTTCATACTGTATAGTGTATAGTCTTCATTACAAACTTCAAATTGCTATAACTTTCTTTCATGTCAACTGCCTAGCCAACTAGGACTGACGGTAACTTGTTTCCATTGTGGAGCAACACATTTTTAAGACTTACTTTTTACGAATCGATGAAAAGAGCCCTGTCTTTTGGATCATAGTCAAGATTTAAAGCTGCCATTAATCCCTCAATGTCCCTACAAGCTACCAAATTGTTCTCCATGTTAAAAAATGGTGTTAACTTTTTCTGACGGTTTTGGTACATAGAAACTTTTACTTTATCTTTATCTAGTAAATTCCATTGTTGCAATCGAGAGGCCAATAGTTCTGCTTTCTTCTTGGACAATTCTAAATCTCTTATAAGGTCACTTAATTCTACTTGACTTAATTTGTGAGGTGCTTTACTGGGAAGTTCGCAGACAAAATCGCTGTCTTGCGAGATGGATGGACTGGCAATATTTTCGGGCACACTACTATTTGAATCCGTTTCATCAACGTCATAATCAAGTGTATACTGCCGTGATGGATCTGGTCACTATGAGGCACCGGGCGTTTGGCGGACTGTAAATTTGGATATTCCAATGCAGACCTTTTTTTCTCCAAGAAACCTTTTTTGATGGGAGGTGTCAAACAAAAGTAACAGTCTGTAAAGTGGTTTTTCGGTTCTCTCCAGATCATAGAAAGAGTGGACATCATCTTACGCTTTTTTCCACTTATCTAGCCGCACATTTGTAGCAGCAGATATGGGGAGCCCAATTTTTATCCTGGTCTCCAACTTTGCAGCTAAAATACAAGCGTTAAATTTTTTTATTAAACGGCTAAGAGTATGTTTTTGTTTCACAAAAATCACTTCACCACATATATAACAAAAATGATCCGGCTTATTTACACAAAGTCGCGGCATGTTGATCAAAGTTCTACCTTCACAAATACGAATACCTCTCTTTTAACTGGTATGTGAAATACCACTAACTGTAAACGGATTGCTTTCTAGGAGCAAAGCATTCAAATAACGCAAATCGCGTGATCCTTACGTGTATCGCTCCCATTGGTCAGGCATTGCCATTAAACCTGTCATACCACCCTCTGGCACTCTAAAGATTATGCTGACCTAACCCGAACACAAAGAACATGTATTTATTTACATCGTTTGCCTCTGATGAATGGAAAAACGCCTATTAGGTATAATAAATTCAGGTATTTATCATTTAATGGTCAAATTTTGTTTTACCTTTGGAACAGGTGGGAAAATATCATAATTAGCATGGCTCTATAAAACCGGAGCCAACTGAGACTTTTGAATAACAGATTGTTATAATAAAATAAGTAAAATTTTGCTATTTTGGTTTCGGAAACATTTTGGCTGTTCCCTAGAAATATTATTACAAAACCTCATCAACTGCTATGCTGCTATGGTTATTAGCGAAGTCATATATTTAGTAGATACATCATATTGTGTAAATTAGTAATATTTTTAAAATTATACGGTTTTCTTATATTCTTTAATGAGTTTGGTTTTTAGGTCTTTTGGTAGGAAGTCTATTGTTATTGTCGAAATTCACTCTTACTTTACTTTTAAAATACTTATATTGCTATTTTTTTACTCAATTTATCACCTATTACAAGTGATGACATGAACGTAAAACGTCTGTCGTAAACTTAACACTGACTTCAAGATCATCGACTCATATAGATCGCTTCAACCTTCCAGAACCTTCTCAAAACTTCCAGATGTTTCTTGACAAAGGATGATATTTCTGGACATTTCTAGACTTTTGTGCCTTTATTTTTTATTCGTACGTTTCCTATAACAGCAATAGGCCATAGCAGGATGCAGGGTAGTATGGCTCCCTGGTCTCTAATTATTCGTCCAGAGTAACTTTATTACCGGGACCTGCTTGGAGCCCACCGGGTGGATCTGGACCACGGTATGGCGCTAACTTTTACAATTCAACTATTGCAACTGATAACATGAACAAAAAGGAAAAGAAAAGACGAGAAAAGGAAAAGGAAAGGCGCCGAAAGAAAAAAGGAAAGGCGCAGGAAAGAAGAAGAGAAAAAGAAGGACGATAGGCGTAGAAAAGCTAAGGTGGAAATTATGAATGGTTTGCTACAAATTCAGAAAAACCTTAAGCAAGAGGTAGGTCAGCTAAACAATCGAATAGATCTCTTAGCACAACAACAAGATAATATAAGCAGCAAGATAATCTTAAAACTAATTTAGAACAGCAGCAAAAGAATCTAAAAACTAATTTAGAGAATCTAAAAACAAATTTGGAGCAAAAAGATAAATTAAAGACTAATTTAGAGTAGATTTGGAAAGGCAAATTAGAACTGGATTAGCTGAGTTAGAAAGTAGAATTCGTATTCAAGCTTCAGCAAGCAATATTGATGCTGAAAACACTACCTAGTCCTTATCTGTAACCGAACGAAGCCACATTCGAATCTCAGTTTCACAAAACCATACCACAGTTTATTGCTAAAGAATCAGTTAGCTCACTTGAACCAGTTGAATGTTCCAAAATAATATCCACTCCAGGGATACAAATTCAGGATGCGCAGAAGACTGCTATTTGAATATAGAACGGTTGTCATGTATTGTATTGGTTATGATGTGATTCTGTATGCGCCAGGGATACAAATTCGAGTTGCGCAGTATATAAACTGGAACATTGAGATCAAAATTGCCGACGCAGAGTGAGCGAACTGATTCTTTAGCTATAAACTGTGACCATACTAGCAAGACCCTTACGCCATCTACGTTTGACCGTCAGACAATATGGGAAACATATCGACTATCAACTAGAGCCAATGGCTGGGCCGAGAAATAAAGTGTCACTGCGAGGTCAGGCAGCAACCATATTACAGTTATTTGATCAAGAAAACCCAGTTATTCATCTCTCGTCCAAGCTTTGGAGACAAGATATGGCCAGTATAATTTGAAACAGGTGTTCCTAAACCAGCTAAAAGTTCGTAGCCAGAAACACAATAAGAGTCTACAAGAATTCGAAGCCGATAATAAAAGATTGCTGCATCTGACCAACTTTTAAAGAATATCAATATAAAGCGTGATCACAATAAATGTTCACAGTTCCATTTGGAAGCCTATTATTTGGGACACATCTTTTTTATTATAACAGTCGCAGGTTACTGTAGGGTAAAGGGTAACAATATTTATTGTTTTTTTTGATACTGTTAGCCATCGTCTACTCTTGCAGTCTCTAAAAGATATAGGCATCAGAGAAAAATATTTACAACTTTTTGAATTCTATTTATCGGTACCAAGATGTAAGAGTGGACAATGTTACCACTGATACAGAATTCGTTTATTATATTATTGCGTGCCTCAAGGAACAGTACTCGGTCACATATTATTTAATATATATTTAAATGGGCTGTTTTAATTAAGAACCTCGGGAAATATAATTGGTTTTCCAGATAATACTGCAATATTCTATCAAGAAGACAATTTAGAACAATTGAAATTAAAAGTAGTGAGTGATTTATGTAAAAAAAAAAAAAAACCAAATTGTAAACTACTAACAATAATAATTCTTTGTGAGTGTGAGGGTTAGTGGGAGAGGAAGAATCATTAAATTAAAATACATAACAGGTTTTAATAAAAAATTGTAAAAACTATGAGATTTACATAGATGTCAATATTATAAATGGTATATAGGTATATATACAACGTAAATGGTTATTGTTATTTTAATAAAACAATCATTGTTAGCATGAGAGAATTAACAAATCAATATAAACATAAAAACAAGGAGAAATAAAAACTAAAAACCTTACCTTAATAAATTAATTAATGCAAGGCACATGGCATATGTGGAATTTGCCAAAACAGTTAAAGCAGAACAATACATAAATAAAATATAATACTAAAAGTAACATTTACACACATATCTTAAAATGATAAAATTAATCAAAATATTGTGGCAGTTAAAATTGTAGGTGGACGAAGAAATTCATTTGTATGTTTTTTATTTAATAGTACGGTGGGTATAGTTAGTATTTTAATGGCCTATTGTTTTAGTCCGGTTCAATTTTGGACTTGTATATATTGAGTAGGTTACGATAGCAAATACTTAAATTGGCAGTATCCGTTCTTAAATTTACTGTGTTGTTTAGAGATATGTGTATCATTTCACTAATTGTTCTTTTGTAACAGTTGGATTCTTTATCAACAATTTTAACGTTGTCAAAGTCAAATTTGTGCGATTGATTAAAATGATGTAATGTAATGATGCGGTCTTTTCTACCTTATTTTCATTTTTTTCCCGACAGTCATATTTGTGTCGATATATTCTGTTTTTAATATATTGTTTTGTAATACCAATGTAGCATTTTTCACAGCCGTCACAGTTAATTTTGTACACTACATTGGATTTTAATTGATCGGGCGTTTCATCTTTTAAATTTGAAAATAACTGAAAAATCTTGACAAAAAACAGGGTTTTCAGATGTCCATTTGTATAAAATATTTGTAAACTAAAACTGATTGGCCACTCGTCGTATCAGAGATCTACCAATACTAAGTCGCTGATCCGATGCTCCACCTACCAGAGTTTAATTACCGGCCGGTTAGCGTTGAATATTCTAGTCATATTAGAATAGTGTACTTCGTAATCTTCACATGCAAAGAAATAATTTTATCCTTTTCAGTATCTTTGTATTAAAAGTCCTTCATGTAGCCAAGCATGTTTTCTATCAGAACTATTACCGGTATTTTTGTTAAATATGTCTTCCTTGAATTGGTAAGGAAGTACATCTTTGTAGAACTTCTCTATCGAGGATGTACTGCTTACTAGGAAGCATGTTTAAACTTTCGTGTATATCCATTATCCTGGTTGATCTTTTGCACCCCAGCATTAGCTTCAGACACAACTGTTTTGGATTATTTTATTTTATTATTAAAAACAATTAAAGGCTGACAATTAGGTTCTATATACCCTAACAATTCACTATGACTTGTGGACAATAGTAAGGTAATATGGTTTGAAGATAACTAATTGTTCATAAAAAAGTGTTATGATTCTAACAGGCAGATATGTCTACCATGGTCCCCGAGCCTGCACGAAGCAAGAAGCCGAGTGTCGAATTATAACATGAAACTGTAGACAAGATTTTAAAAATGTAAATAACGAAGTTATAAGTAAGTAAAGACTTAACTTCATGTAAACTGGATTACGATTTGAGCTTCAGATCGAGATTATTTTCATATTGTTAATATCTGTGATGTTTTTAGTAACGGCAATATCTATGATACTTTGATAATGCCGTTAGTCAATGATTTCGGCGAATCCTTTTAGAACTCTACCACTTCTATTTTGGAATTGGCAACTAGAGTAACATTCAGCATGTTTGCTATTCAAGTCACTTTTGTTTCCAGACGAAGTGAGCCTATTATAATAATATCAATACCAAACTAATAAAAATGATAATAATAATAATAATAACATTAAAATAATAAGAATGAACTAAATGAATAACAAGAATACACCACCCTGTACATAAAAAAAATGGGAGAGATGTCAAAGTGAAAGACAATTTTTGAAGGGACTGAAAGAATGCCTTTTTGAATTGTATAATTGGGAAAATTAGTATGAAAATCAATCAAACAAGGCTGATTAAATAAGCAAATTTATTTATGATATATGTAAAGATAATTGTTACAAGAAACGTCAGTGTAGGTGCGACAAGAAAATTTTAGAAATATTGTCCAGGACTGACTATTACAGCAAGATACGACCGCTAAAAAAGCATCAATTCACTGTGGATCATGCTAACGCGAATCCGTTTGTATTAGCTAATGGACGCAAAAATGAATACGAACTGAGTGAGTACTCTTATGTGCACTGACATTTTTTTTTTTTAGATAATGAGTTATTGAGTTTTATGCGAAGAAAGATTGGATTTTATCGTTAACCAATAACATAAAAACGTTAGAGTGATTAGTGTAAATAAATTAAAATCCCATAATAGAAAATTTTATTTCTTTGACAATATCAAGTGACATTTCTTATAGAATTTGGGTATATGTGTCATAGAAATAAAGTTGTGTTTCCATTTGGAATAATATTTACTTCTATATCAACGAATCACCATTGTTATTTTTTTTTTGAATCGGTTATTTTTTAAATTTAGTAGATGTGAATGATTATAGTTCTAAGTAGGTAGGTATTTATAAGATTTTGAACATAATTTGTGACCACTTTTGTATTTTTTGGTTTCTCTAATAGTGTGTTACAAATAAACAATATAGTTGTGTTGAAAAATTTGCTTATTTAATTTAGAATATACAAGGTTTTCGAAAAGTAAGTGTACACAGGTATTTATTTTTTGATCTTTGGCAGTTGTTTCAGAATTTAACTATTAATTAATTTAACTAAAAATAAAGTCTAATAGTTACATTGAAACCACCCCTGGGAGAAAGAGAAAAGGCAGCTCTAATATTAATTATTATAATTATCATTACACTATATAGATCTAAACTTTTGATTGTTGTGTGGTCTGTTGTATGCCCCTATAAAAATATGTTACCCCCTTCGATTATGGAGTGTTCTATGTTTGTTTCTACATTTTTAAGCCGTTTAAAAATTATATTTGTATGTATGATAAATAGAAACCACACTGTCGCATTAATAACCTGGCCTAACTTGTCAAATTGTATACTTACTTTGTTAATTTCATTATTTTACGTGTTCACGATCCTAACTATAAAGAATTTTTGTTTATGTATGAAACAGCCAAAAAGCAGTAGCTTGTTGTGCAACCCGTTCGCCTTAGAGAAACGAATTTTGTTTGTTTTTGTGCATTCCATTTAGTTCGGTTCTTAAAATTATACGAGTTATCATAAAATAATTTCTAATGCTCTATGTTTCAAATATGTCTTTTTTTATGAGGCGTTAAGATTTTTTACCGCCTTAAATAATTCTAAAATGTTGTCCAACCAGTTAAGTTTATCAAACTCGTTATTTAGGCTATGGAAGTCGTCTATCGCTTTTTTTTGTCTTGGTATTAAGTGATGCTGGTCTGTTCCTAATGCTGTTTTAGGTTATTATTTT